CACTTCGGAAATGTTTTTAACAAAGAAACAACATTCCAACATGGACATGGCTCAAAATCTAAATTATTAACACAAAACAACTGAATGGAGGACATTTAGACAATTGCTGTTTTTCAAAATAAAATCACAACATGCTAGAGGTCTGTATATTATTTAATACAGCTGGGGACTGCTAAAACGAATATTGTTGAAATGCCGATTTTTGTTTTAATACAGTGAGTTCTCGGGCCTAATCAATAATAGAAATGATCAGGGTCAATATTTGTGCATTTACCTTTTGAATATTTCATGGCAAAGAACAATGAAATCAATAAGGTAATCTGACCCCTGACCCCCTTCTGAGAAAATCCCCTTACTTCATCTTGACCGTCATTACCCTACATCTATGACTGTTGACAGAATATGTCATTTACAGATATTAAAGCCTGAGTATGTGACATTTTATCCAACAAATAGACTAAAATCTCCATGGAGAATGTTCCAAAGTGCGGTTTCAATATTCTTTTTCCATAGAATCATGCAGGTGATATGCCACCTCTACAAAGTTACATAAAAATGCTATACTTTATTCATTATATATGATGGAAGTGGATGTAATGATGAACTATTTGAAAGGTTACCCTGGATTTATATAATTAAGGCACAGGGATTTTCCAATTATAGTCCATAATGAGCACCAGTAGATACGTTTTTGACATTTAGCAGCTCGCATTAAGACCTAACTAGAAATACTTATAAATAACAGGCAAAACATTGCACATTTTGCAGTTGACATGAAGTTGGAGTCAAAAGCTGATCAGTGATTAGTATTTAAAGGTCATGGAGAAAGTGCAATTAGGTTCAGTGCTTGAGCAACTAATAGCCAATAAATGGTAACTCCATTTCATGTAATAGGAAGATGCAGCTTTTAATTATGTTTTGATATAGAAATTGGCTTGAAGAAGCTGAGTAAACACACTGCACTGAAGAAATCTACCTTGGTATTTCACCATATTTTGTTAGAATTATTCTTGATAATTATCATCATGGTAATTAAGCTGTTTCTGATTCTAATTAACAGCTTTGATCATTTCCATGTATATGCTTGACTAAATCTTATGTTGTTAATGTAATTAGACATTTTTTTCACTTGGCAACACAGGAGGATATGGCTTGGCAGCTATGTAGACTATTGCATTTTTTGTGTGTTGTTTGTGAAGTTAATTTTATAAGCAAAACGGCTTCATCACTCACTTTGTTCACTGAGTTCTGGTTCAGTCCTGATTTAATACTGGTCTAACACTGGTTTAGTCCTGTTTCAGTCCTGGTTTAGTTCTGGTTTAGTCCTGGTTTATTTTCTTCTTCTTATCCAGGGCTGGGTCACGGGGGCAGCAGTCTAAGCAGTGACTTTAGGACTACCTTCACCCCAGACACTTCCACTTTACTGCTATGGTATATAATACAGCGGCTGCATCACTGCAGACTCTGCACCGCTCTGCCTGTCAATCTCATGCTCCATCTTTCCCCCATTGGTGAAAAAGACCACGAGATAGTTGAACTCCTCCACTTGAGGCAGGAACTCTCCACCCACCTGCAGAGGGCAAGCCACCTTTTTCCATTCGAGAACCATGGCCTTGGGTTTGGTGAAGCTGGTTTTCATCCCAGCCGCTTCACACTCCGCTGCAATCATACACTGTGAACAGGTTTGACTTACTGCTGGCAGTGCAAACACAGCTCTTGCTCTGGCCATTTAGGAACCAGACCACCCTTAGCAATGGGCCCTGGACTCCAGACTCCTGGAGCACTCCCCACAGGACACCACAAGGGACACAGTCGAATGTCTTCTCCAGATCCACAAAGCACATATGGACTGGTTGGGCAAATTCCCATGAACCCTTGAGCTCCCGATCGACAGTTCCAGTGTTTCATGGTTCCTCCAGTCCCTCAGGGACCACCACCACGGTCTACCAGTCCAGAGGTACTGTGACCACCATGCAATGCTGCAGAGACATGTCAGCCAAGACAGTGCCACAACATCCTGAGACTTAAGATACTCATAACACAGCTCATCCTTCCCCATAGCCCTGCCACTGAGAAGTTTGCCAACCACCTCAGTGACTTCAGCCAGGGTGATGGTTGAATCTGTCTTTGAGTCCTCAGCCACTGCTTCCTCCTCATTGGGTGTGACAGTGGGATTGAGGGGATATTTTTTCCACCGTCAACAATATCCTCAGTCGAGGTCTATAGCTCTCCACTTGCACTGTAAATAGTGTTGGTGAAGCACTGCTTCCCCCTCCTGAGTCCTCCCCCATGGCCTCTCCAAACTCCTCCCAACCGTCTGACCCCTGTCCCCCTGACAGAAGGCTCTGCCAGACGTTCCCAACAGACTCTCATGATACACTTGGGCCTGCCAGGTCTTTCCAGCTTCCTCCTCCGCCAGCGGACTCAAGTCCTCACAAGATGGTGATTGATTGACAGCTCTGACTCTCTGTTCACCCGAGTGTCCAAGACACATGGCCGAAGATTAGATGATATGACAATGAAGTCGATCATCAACCTCCTTTCCAGAGTGTCCTGGTGCCAAGTGCGCTGATGGACACCCTTGTATTCGATCATGGTGCTCGACAAGCTGTGACTAGCACACTAGTCCAATAACAGAACACTGCTCGGGTTCAGATTAGGGAGGCCGTTCTTCCCGATCACCCCTCTCCAGGTGTCACTGGTATTGCCCACATGGGTGTTGAGGTCCCCCAGTAGAACAAAGGAGTCCCTGGTGCACTCTCTAGTACCCCTCCCAAGGACTCTCAGAAGGCTAGTTTCTCAACACTGCTGTTCAGCCTGTAGGCCAACACAACAGTAAGAGACCCGTCCATTCAGACACTCAAACCCCTCCACTGTGTTAAGGTGGCATTTCAAGGAGGGGTAGTCCTGGTTCAATCCTGGTTTAATCCCAACCCTAAACCACTCTCCCACTGTAGTATTTGTGTCGCTGGAATAGCATAAGGTTTTTACTCCACCACTAACACCCAATTTCCCCATGAGGCCCAAACTCTTAACATGCTCAGGTCCCACAATAACTACAAGAAGAAATCCTGTGCACTATGTTAAGTGGATTAACCTGCGGCGCCTATATTTGACACTTGTCCCATGGAAACATTTATCATCTGTTGACATGAGGCTATATGAAAGCTGCAGATACACACACACGCACACACGCATGCGCGCGCACACACACGCACGTATATGCACACACACACACACACACACACACACACAAACACACACAAACCACACCTCCACACTCTCCCTTTCTCTTTTTCTTAATATGGGTTCAACTGGACAGTAATAAGTAGTATAAAGGTTATGGTGAGGCTCCAAGAATGAATTTAAGTCTAACTACTGTCACCACGAGACACATGACCCTATCTTGAATTTGTGTTTCGGGGTGAGGGGGGACAGGGGGGCAGGGGGAGGTGGAGGGGGAGTGAGATATGGAGTGGGTTAGGGAGAGGAGGAGAGAAGGGTGGAAAGCGGGGGAGAGAGGAAAAAGAGAAAAGAGGTGGGGAGAAGGCATAGAGAGAGAAAGAGAGGGAAAGAGAAGTAGAGAGGGAGAGAGGGGGAGACAGAGAAAGAGAGGGAGACAGAAGAAGAAATAGGGAGAGAGGAGCGAGAGATAAAGAGAGGAAGAGAGAACAGAGCACAAGGGGGAGGGTACAGAGAGAGAGAGAGAGAGAGAGAGAGGAGGGGAAAGGGGGGCTATAGAGAGAGAAACAGAGAGAAGGCGAGAGAGGGAAATAGAGATTAGAGAGGGTCGAGCAGCTGATGGAGTATCTGAGAGCACCTGCAGCTGCCCCCATCCATCATGTCTCACATGTACAACACTTTAGAGTCACAGCACGCTGAGTTTCCGGATGACTAGACCTGCTCACAAGTAACAAAAGTACAAGTACTCATCACACATACTACTTATACTAAAGGAAAAATAACACTAGCACACTTCACTTTTCTGCTGAATTATGCATTTGCTAATATATTTTCAACAAATGTATTCTACTACCTGTTACCATGCCATTGCTTTATTATTAAACTTTATATATATATATATATATATATATATATATATATATGTATATATATATATATATAGTATATATATATATGTGTGTGTGTGTGTGTGTGTATATATATATGTATATATATTTATAGGCATTTATTCAATTATGGGTGTGTAAATGGGTGTAAAGTGGCGAGCCCTCTACCAAAAGTTACTCAGAAATAAATCATGAAAGACTTTATAAATGTCATTATTGCAAAAATGATTCGATTTGTTGTTATGTTTCATGTTTTGGTCTATTTTTCATCTCTTTAAAATGCCCCCTTCTGTGTTATATGTGCAGGTGCTGGTCACATTACACCACAGGATTTTATTTCTTCACAAAGAGCTCATTTAACAAACCGCTCCAAGCTCTAAATCTAACTTTAGCGCCTTTCTTATGTAATTAGATGTGATAAATAAATTATTGAGAATAGTCCTCCCCTATGAGTCAGCTGGCTAACATGAGGCCTGACTGTGTAATACTAAACTTGTGCGACTCCCATAAAATCTTTAGGCTGTAAATCTTTCTCATTGAACCATACGAGGATTCTTCTGTCTGATACTGGCTCTCAGAAAAAGATATTAGGCCATAGGTAAATTAAAAGATGAAATAGCCCCTCAAGAACCACAGATCACACATTCCAACTTCCTATCAAAATGGATAAAGTCTTGTCAAATGACTTGTCGGCAGTATTCTTTGCTGGAATTTAACCATCAAATTCTTTACATATCTGAGTGCATATGCAGCTGAAATAAAATACATTATTACTACTTGACTAAAATGTTTGGATACTGAAGTATGTCATTTCAATAATACTGTATGTGATAATCATTTAGTTATTTCAGACCTGATTCTCACTTACTCTATTGTGTGAGCAGTTCTATAAAAAATAATAAAGTGCATTTAAAATCACACAAGGAGAACTTTACTCAAGCAACATTTAATATTCAGCAGACATATTTGTACAGAATTGAGATGACATTCACAGAATGGAGGTAGAAAATCATGCGTGTATTCAAATGTGTCTGGATATGAAGAGAGACACAAGACGCATTGTCCACAATAGCTCCACAGACACAGTACAAAAGCAAAAGATCTGTTTTATAATACACATTTATATCAAAGGAATTACATTTATTTGACCCCAGTGCCAAAAATTGAGTAAACGAGTTTGGTAAGATTGAGTAACACCTATTCCTGATTTTTATTTTTTTTCTTCCTTTTTTCTTTGTTTTGCTTTGTTTTTTGGTTTTTTGTTTTTGTTTTAAATAAAGTGATAATCCTGAAGATTTCCTTAAATGTTAGGTGTTCCATACTTTGTAGGGACATTATTTTGGCATCTAGGAAACTGATCCTAACCTTTACCACACTACTTCCCCATCCTTAACCTAAACCTTAACTTAACCCATATCTTTACTCTAATCATAACTGATCAAATATTTAAGCATTTACCTCATGGGGAGCTGATTATTGGTCCCCACAAAACACAAGGTCCCCATGAAGTGTATAGCATTGTTGTGTCCCCATAAAGTGATGGATATCATCCCATAACGTCAATGTAACTTTACAACTGAAACAACATTGAGACAGTTAAGTTTACCTTTTTTTTTTTCTTTTTTTTTTTTTGCTTAGTAACATCAACAATACACAAGATGCAAAATGTACAAATAAGCTCTTTAAACATGCACTTTGTTTGAATAGCATTACAAAGCAGAACAAAATATATTAAAACACTATTTCAAATCACTTGTGGTTTACTGTAAGCAAAAACATCACTTTTTCTTGTTAAATATATTTTCCACCAATAATTACATTAATGACATGAACCGTTGTAGTATTGTGCGTTTCATTTTATTTTGTATTTATTTAAAATATCAATAAATAGGACAAACTAAAGAGCTCAGACTTGTACTCTCACACCGCTCACTTTCAAACACATTCATCATGACTCTTGGAGCCACTTGGAGGTGTGATTGGGTGACCTCATTTGACCTCTGGGTGTGACCTGAGCTAAATCACTCCTCACTCTCTTAATGGAGTCTGCAGTTTGGAGGACATTCAACAGTCAGTCTGTTTTTACTGTGTAACATGAAATAAAAACACCACTGCGCAACTCAGGTCTGATGTTGGAGACCGGTAAAACATCTGGATGGATTTTAAATTGGAAAAAAGAAAGCAGTTTAAAAGCTTGGATTTCTCTCATTACGCAGTGTGTCTGGATAAGATCCTACTATTAAAATACTATGTACATGTGTATTGTATGTTTTAAGACACAGTGATAGGGTATCCATGGTAACCCTTAAAAAGTAATAGATCCATAATTTACAAATTTACATTAAGGGATATGTTGTAAATGAATGTGTGTTTCTTCATGTGGTAACTTTACATTTCAGACTTCACTATAGATGAAGACACAATTTATGAATTTGAATATTTTACCAGATGATATTTCAAAAACAGAATTACTATTTATACAACAGTTTGGACAAGATGAGCACCTGCATGCATGTTTTACAATCTTAGCAATTATACGACTGAAAAGCAATGAATTCCAGAGGCACATCTGGTCTTTTTTATTTTTACTCCACTAAATTTTATAGGTTTGTAAATCCTGTGACAATAAAAGTAGAACGGAAAAGTGTATTTGCAAAATGTTCGAAACCAATCTGAAAAATGATTTGCATGAAAAGGTGTAAGTGAATCCATTTCGCACTGACTCAGACCTGGAGGAACACAAGAAGGACGTCAGCACATCTATTGACCTTTTCACTAAGCACATAACTCCCCATCATCTCTTCAAACCACCTCAGTGACCTTTACACAGAAATTGATTTCCATTGTAGAATCTGTAAACACTTGTATAAAGTCTAAGCAATGGACGACAGGCTTTCCTTGCAGCTCCCGTTGGTCGAGTTTGATGATAAAGAACCTGGTGACACCTCCAATGTCTGTTCAGGCAAAGGTGTTGGTAGCCTGATAGTCATCGGACTGTCCCTTAGAGAACTGTCCACACTCCCATCCCAACCTAAACTCTGACTCACAATTTCTGTCTCTTTGCTTTCTCTTGTCGTCGTGCATTGTGGTTTCGGATACCCGTCCTTACAGCACCCCCATGCCTTCTTGAAGCGCAGTTTTTCGGCCCAGTTTCTCAAGCAAAGGATCTCCTGAAAGGCGTGTCTGAAATCAGGGCTGCGGCAGTAGATAAGCGGATTGAAAGCGGAGTTGGAGTATCCGAGCCAGTTCAGGAGGCGAAATAAAAGTTTAACATCGCCGAGATCTAGATACATCATCAAAATATTCAAGATAAAAAATGGCAACCAGCAGAGTGTGAATGTCCCCATGATAATCCCTAGTGTCTTGACAGCTTTCTGCTCCTTCAGGCAAAACTTCAGACGGCGTGTGGTGGTTTGCTTCTCGGTCCGTGGTTTCCCGTTTTCCATTCTTTGCATGCTCAACCTATCATCCGACGCATTTCTTCGAAGTCTTTCCGATGGGCTTTCCTCAGAATACGCGAGAGAGATTTGCAGTTTCAGTAAATGGCGTTCCCGTCCCCTGATCTTCTCCAGTTGTTTTTGAGCTTCCTGGAAAACCCTACTGTAAAGGAAGATCATGACCACCAGCGGTAGGTAGAAGGAAATGATGGAGGAGGACACGGCGTATGCAGCGTTGGTGTTGAAATCACAGCAGGATTCGTTTTCTAAGCATGCAATAGCCTTGTCATCACTGGACACCCAAAGTTTGAGATGGATTGGCAGAAAGGAGATTAGAGAGGCGACTATCCACACGGCCAAGACCACAGCGAAGGCACGGCCCCTGGGTGAAGACAGGAGAGTGGTTAAAAAAAATTCAGAGTAAGTTACAATACTCCAACTCATCTTGATATGAACAATATTAAAAACTGTGCCCTTACAAGCAGGGGTGGAGTAAGCAATTTAGGGGCCCTAGCGAACTTGAGTTTGGGGTCCTCACTGCATAATGCACCATTTTTTTGTTTAGTTTTTTAACATATTTATTGTCTGTTTCTCCCCATTGTTCTTGAGACTTGCACATCTCTTTTTATTTGAATTATGGTGGATTGGAAATTTGTCTTATTAGTTCAGTCGCCTACTAGATAACCATAACTGAAAGTAGTTTTATTTGGTTTTCTAGTACAATTACATTTTTGTTTACATCCATTGCATATGATTATTATTATTTTTGTTATGATTTTTGTTTAAAAGTAAACTACTCTGATTTAATGTCATATTGAGAGAAAATCTAATTGCTCTGAGGCGTCGGCCTTTAGTGGCACTGATGGCAATTGGTTGAGGCCCCTCTAGACTTGGGGGCCCTATACAGCCGCCTACTTTTGCCTAATGGTAGCGCCGCCTCTGCTTACAAGCAACACCAAGAACTGAACAATCAACAGTGTTACTCATATTGCAATTTGAGAACATCTGTACTGCATATGTGTACAGGGGCTAGAAAGTAGATAAGAGTAAACTGAAATGAACACTATATTACAGAGAATATTTGATCAAAATGGCAGTCATAACAGAAACAAACATTTGATTTTTCAAATTTTCAAAAAATTACCTTATTAAACCTCACTATCAATGTAATAAAGTGGATCTAAACATGAATAAAGACCTGGTGGCTCATTATTATCTGTTATAAATGTGCATTTATAACAGATAATAATGTTTATTATATAATTATTATAATATTTCAATTATTTACTATATTTACCATCAGTGACCGTCCGCTTTGTCTATGTTTTGATATGCGGATCCAATAAAAAAAATCCAATAAAACTGTAACGTTGTTGCCTAGATAGGAGATTAAAAAGAAGAGAATACAATCATTTATAACATTTATAAAATCAAATCTTGCCTCTCAGAACATACGATACCTATACATTTTTTCCATTGCTGGACCACAACAATAGGAAATCTCCTGAATTAAAAGGTTTTTGTTTTAAAAAATCTTTCTGTAAATCTGATTGGTGCTCGACTACAACAAAAGGAACAATCCTAAAACAAAAATTATCTCATATTATTGTTCTTTGTAAAAATACTCACTTCCTTTCTTGGGTTACTTAAGCACTCGGAAACATCAAAAATGTTAGTATTGTTCAATTGATCTTTATCCAACAAAAACATCTCTGGAGACAGTCGAACTTTTTCACAGTGCAGTTTATGAAGCTAACTGGACTTTTCTTTGGATCACGGGGTTAATTGAGGTATCGTGGTAAGAATTCTGCTTGCAATGACGTGATTAACATGAGTTTTTGTAGACATACGCCCCTCACTGGAAATGAGTGGGAAACCGGGCACTTCCTGTCTCGGCTGATTGTGTTGATGATGTTTATGTTGTTGCTAGTACTGCTAATGCGCTGTGCAACAAAGCTCGCAGGAAATATCTCACTTATATGCAAAAAATCTACATCTCCCGGGTAGAAAAGATTTAGAAGATACTCATCCGGGCTATGTCTTTGAATCTCCAACTATCATCTGGAGGCCGTTTTTAATCTGAAGGTACTGAGAAACATAGCAACGCTTTTTAAAAAATGTTTCCTGGATCTGCTTTGGTTGCTTTGTTCGAGGCTTTGTTGACCTGATAGCCTTGTTATGGTTTGTTCTCTGCCAGTCTCCACCTCGCAGCTGTGAAGTACCTCATTGAAACCTTTTGTACCGTGGCTTCCTGGACAAATGAGGGATTACACCTTATCATTGGAACTCTAAAGGGTTTTAAACTAACCAGTCGCATCACACAAAAGTCGTCACAGAAAATGTTTGGTTGAATGAATTATGTCCTAAAAGCTCCTGTACACGTTTTCTGCTGTTTTCTAACCACGACTAGGAAACGTTGAACTTTTAATTCACATAATCATCTTCTGCTTTCACGATAGATTTATATAGTCATACCCACAAATTCTTTAGGAAGCTGAGTATAATCATATAATCAAGCCCCTCCTTGTAAAGTCTGTGTTGCTTATCACCCGTTTGTCAGTGGACTCTATTCTGTACATCTGCAGTAGACCAGATAGAGTAGTATGTTTGAATGAACTCACATGAACTCTGGAGCCGCCCTTAATATAGCAAACCCATTGACACTGCAACATACCGGTAAAGTAAAGGCGTGAGTAATCCATATCCTGATTTCCAGTGGTGGGTAAACTACATTTACTCAATTAAACTTTCTTGAGTAACTTTTAAATAAAATTCTACTTCTCAGAGTAGTTTTCTCTGCTCGATTTCATTTCTCTCCAGCGACTAAGTCAGGAATTGGAATACACTAGATGGTTTGCAAAAACTCCGGAAGTTCGAGTTCGGGCACCAGCCAATCAGTGAAGAGCCATGTATTTTGTGTTGACAACAATTCCAAGATCGAGGATTTAAAGCCAGAACAAAGAGAATATTTGGTGAATTTCTTCAAGGGGAAAGACATTATTGCCCTTCTTCCTATGGGATTTGGGAAAAGCTTAATATACCAGTTATCCCTGTTAGAGATGCATTACATACGTCTCAACCAAGCCGTCGAACGAACAAATTCTGATGCTGCAAGTTCAGACGGTTTCCACAAAGAAAACGGCTGATGAATCAGGCTAGTTTTCAGACATCCCCCTCCTACTTTATATTGTAAAGTGACAATATTAAATTGGTTTGGAACATTTTTATTTCTTGCACCACTCCTTCAGATATAATGTAATTTTTTTTTTTTTTTATTGTGATCTACACTTTGAAAATATCAGATTATGTGCATAAATGTTTTGTCCTTCCATTTACAATACTCTTTTCTGAGTACAATTGTCTACCCCTCAGCTTATAAGTTTAAGTAAAATAGCCAATATAGTTACATCTGTGGCATAGCTAATCTACAGAATCCAGCCTTAGCAGTGGTCCCACCAAACAGAATGAAGAGTTTGTTTTCCTAAAGTGTGGGCCTCGCTGATGCATCACGTCTAAGTCATTTGGCTTTGGAAAGTGCTTAAGAGCAACATTTACCACAACTACCTCCATGAATCTGGGGAAAATCAGACAACTTAAGCTAATTTGTTTGTTGTTGGCAGGAACGAGTCTGTCCACAGCTTCTTTTAAAGGTCAGACCCAGACTGAACAGCAGGAAGCACTTGTGGATGAGCTCAAAGTGTGCCAGCGTTTGACACTTCAAAACTGCACTGAGTCAGGCCAGGAAAAGTGGCTTCTCCAGAGATATTTCAGTGCTACAAACAGACTAAAGTCATTTATTTTAGTGACTGTAGTTGCTATACTGTACTGGTAAGTAAGTAGAAGATGCACGATCAGGTGCAATTTAAAGATTAATTTTGGAATTACAAATTTTCCTTTTTTTTTTTTTTTTTTTAAATCAAAGTGGTTTGTGTAGCACTGTATAAGAATACAAAACCCAGACATGAGGAGTTGAACCAGGGCACTTCTTGCTGTGAGATGTAAGTGCTCGCCACTCAGCCACCGTGTCGCCCTTTTAATAACAATAGAGGTTTTCTAGTTGCTAATTTCAGAAATAGTACCAGTTTTAGCCTATTCATACTGTATATTGGCCAGTCTTCTTAAAATATCTGAGTACAGATTTGGAGTTTGGCTTCCACTACTCTCCAAACCTCCAAAGTCAACTATCTTCTCAAAGCCCCTAATCCTTGTTATTAAACTATGTGAACCAGCACTCCTCACTGGCCTCTTTGTCTCCAGATAAAGCCTCCTCTATCACCGGGCTGTGGTCATACCTGGTGAGCAGTGAGGGGTATCTCAGAGGGGACGTGATGGCCAGGTAACGGTCCAGAGCAATTACACACAGAGTCTCAATACTGGCGGTCACACACAGGACATCGGTGGCCGTCCAGAATTCACACATGAAGCTTCCAAACTGCCATGCCCCCAGGAGGATGTAGGAAGAGCCAAACGGTACCACGGCGATGCCCATGACCAGGTCCGCCACCGCCAGCGAGGCGATGAACAGGTTTGTGACGGTCTGCAGACGCTTGAAACGCAAGATGGCGGTGATCACGAGAACATTACCTAGAAACAAAGAAGAAAAGTTGTGTCAAACATCTGTAAAAATAATCCTCAAACAACAACAAACTGAGACCTGTAAACAGCACTAACACTTGTTAAAGCCCCACTGAGTAACATCTGAGCCATTAAATAAACATAAAACACTGCCCGTTACTAGCCCAAGTTACAAGTCATTTCTATGAAGAGGGATTTTTGAGAAATAAAAACATACATGACGAATAAAATGCTTTTATTTTAGCCTTTATTGACTGAAATGTTACACAGTGGGGCTTTAAGTGAACAGCACAGATAAACTCTTCTTTAAGGCATTACATTGTTCTGACTCCGGTGTAGAAGTGGATACAGGTACACACTGAAAGATCTTTAGACAGTTTCAGAAATAGCAATGGATCAGAACTACTAAGAGAAATTGTAAATGCTGCACTTCATTTTGTATCCCCCTGTCTTTATAACAACAAAGAAAGATCTAATTGTGTTTCCTGGTTATTTACTCTCTTCAAACTGGGTTAGGGTTAATCATATTACCATGAAATAATATAGACTGACGGATGTGTCCTGTTTCCATAGCGAGTCATTACCATATCATTATTAAGAAATATTATTTGTTAAGAGAAAATATATCCAGTTTAATTGAGCTTAGAGATGTGCAACATTGATGTTTAGAAGAGGTTATACTAGACGGAAGGGTTTCACAGGTAAAAAAAAAAAGTCAGCATATATGAGGTTTTACTCCAGGTGGGACAGGCGAATTTCAATTCCGGATAACTACAGTTTACCTTAGATAACTTAAAGGTGCATTGTCTAACTTTTCTGGTGGAGGGTCTGTCAAATGCTTTTTTTCCATGGAGATGCATTTCAATCTTCATGGAAACCAAACTAGACCAAGGTACAGCTCAGATCTGTAGAGTGGCAATCTCATCCTGTCAGAATGCCTGTTTTTCTAGGTATATTTAAGCTTCAAAAGCACCTGTAATTTAAAAAATGTAAGTTAGAACTCCTTTATATGTCATACTGCGCAACATTCCAGGCAGAGCAATGCCGTGTCCATTGAAACAAGCAGGCAACGCATCCCCAACCAAAAAGTCACGCAATGCACCTTTAAGAACAGTGCTTTAACCCTCAGCTAAAACAAAAACAACCTTCGAAATGGTTTCCCGAGAAGATTTCCAGCCTAATATCCCTGTCACACCTATTGATTTGTTCTATTGTTATTGATTTGACTTGGCCCGAAGCAACGCCTGATTTCAGTCACAAGTGAAGTGTGTTTGAACCTTAATTAAACTGAACTACTCTGCTGTGTTGATCCTGTCAAAGAAAAATTAACCAACAAAAAAAGAAAGCCTCAAGCCTCAAGTCGCATGATCTGTACATGTGTGGTTGTCCTGGATACGGTTTTGTCCTGGTGATTAAAAAGGCTGCAAAAAACGCATTTGTTTAGATGATCGATTTTGCTCAGTACCTTCCTGCATTTCAAGGACCACTGAAACTGCATCCATGGAATTACCATTGTCCTTAAACGCACCACTTGACCAAGCAATTATAGTGGAAAAAACATGGTTAGGACAGCCTGCAAATGTAATTATCTATACCTTTATGCTCCCTTTGTCTAGGTTTAAAGAGCAATTTTTTGTGTTTTACTTTTTGATACGATGTTATAAGATCTCCCATGAGTGTTATTGACAGATGGATTGCAGGTCCTATATTATAGAAAATGGATTGTCGTAAGCTTTAAGTCATGTTATAATGTTTTTACCTCATCAGAAACATATCCAAAGTTGTATTTTGTTTCATTCACGCATGTTTGAGTAATATCCTGCATTATTAGTCTGTTTATATTTCTAGGCTCAAAATGCTCTGTCCCACCTTATGATGTCATGAAGCGGCAGTTTTCACATTAACGGCTACCTTTTAACTTTAGTTTAGTAGAAATTTACAATTCCATGGCTGCAACTATCCAGATGATTCTAGCGAAAGTGTATGGAGTTAACAAGCATAGTGGAGCACTTCCTGTACTATCACATGACATCACAAGATGGAACAGAGTGTTTTCTGTTTGAGCGAAGAACTCAGCCTAAATATGCAGGGTTTGTGTGTTAAAGATGACTGGATGAAACAAAACGCAACTCCAGGTATGTTTGTAATGAAGAAACAACATTTAGAAACAACAAATAGATCAGAAAATAGTGAGCCTTTTAACAAATCAGAGAAACATATCGTCCATATCAAAACACACACAGCCGATTAAAAGAATCACACATAAGCAACATGATGAACTTCCTCAGAAACAATGGACAAAGCCATAAACATTGTTACTGTGAGTTTGATTTATTTGAAAATGATAGATGACCAATGAGCTCATCCATTTCACTAAAATAAACAACCCTAATTGCTCTGTCTGAGTTTGGCCTGAGATGCAAGGGAGGGAGAGGTGACCAGACTATAAATCCTATATGGAGGATTTCAGCCAGAATGATATTACAGTATTTTGTTCCTTTCACACAAGGTTAGTAAAGGTTGATTTACTCACCGAACACTATGGCCACCACCAGCACAGCCATAGCCACTCCCAGCAGGACCAGCTCGGCATCACTGTACTCTGGCATTCCCTGGACCGAGGAGGTGTTCCACTGGGAGACATTAGAGCCACTCACATCCGCATCCATGGTCCACTGTCTCTGTAATAAGTAAAACAGAAGTAAATATCTATCTGTCTATCTATGGTTTTCTACCTTCTTGTCTCCATGAAGTTGCTATTGATTTGCCTAGAACAGGGGTGGGTAAACGACAGCCTGGGAGCCATATGCGGCGGCCCTATAATCTCTTTAATCCGGTCGAACTTGAAGAATAGTAATAATAATAATCATTTTCAGTGTTTTAGAAGTAATTTCAATAAATAGTAAATACCATGGGACTTGAAAAACAGATTTTGTTTTGGGGATTATCCAAAAAACTCAATCCATCTGCTCCTGGTTCGGCCCTTCCCGTCAAATTTTAGAACCCTTTGTGGCCCACAACTCAAAACGTTTGCCCTCACCTGGCCTGGAATGTTCCACAGTAAATCATTCGACTCATCTATCATTTTTGTCATTATGGGAGTTTTAGAAAAATACTTTGAAAAAATGCATTCTCACCGTAGACTGTATAAAGTAGAAATATGGGAGTGTGACGTCACCATAGTGTTCGGGTCCAGTCAAATGAAGCTCAGTGAGGCTTGCAGGAGTTATAGGAGCGAATTTGGAGCGGGTAAATACAAACATTTTAAGGCCAAAATGACACTGATCTCCAAAGAAATACACGCATTTAATGCCATACTGTGGAACATCACTGGCAAAACATCTTTATTGAGATGGGCACCCAAAAAAGTTGTGCTGAATGTCTCTCCCCACTCTTCACCCTGCCCTGTCTCTATTCACATTTTCCCTTGTCTTTATGTCCCTTGAAAACTGAAAAACACAAAATTGTAAAAGTGTCATCCCCTTAAAATAATTTATTATAAACACAAAATGACAGGATTTGGTTGAACCTTTTATGTGAGGAATGCAGGGATGCTTTGTACACACAGATTAAGTTGACAACGCAGACTAAATGTTTAGCTGTGGTCTTGGACAGGCCCATATTTCGCTTTCACTCCCTCACTGTCCTGGTTCAGGCACAGCAGTAAATCTGAACTCCTTATGTTATTTTAAGTCGGACACTCTTTTAACTGTGATGAATGGCACGAATACAGGTGTTAAGTGCCTGCTGCGTAAGAGACCTCTACACACCAGCACACTCGGAAGTTCACAGTCAAAATATTAGGTAAGTCAGTGCTTTTATGAGAGGAAAAAAACACTTAACAAAAACGATCTCTGTGCTTTGAATATATTGCAGAGTGCTCCTAAAAGCTGAAAATTGGTGCTTCAGTTCCAACCAGTTCATGGCACTGTTATGTCCTTGGGCAAGACTCTGCTCTCATTAATATGAATCCCATGTGTGAGAGATTGGTGGTGATGGCAAACATGTTTTCTGTTGGTCTATCCATTTAGAACTACATCAATATAACAATTTAGACATTTTGTCAATGGCCATAAAGCTGTCCTCCATTTGCCCTTGGAGGTCAGATTTTCAGAGTTCCGATGTAAATTTACACCGGGAACACCCTGTGATTTCAGAATCCTCATTAAAGTATTGACAAAGTTTGATATACGAACTTTACGATCGAATATAAATATTGATCGTACTGGTGTTATTTTGGCTGCAGTGGAGCTAATGTCAACAAAAGCATAAAGGTCATTCTCAAATGCTGATTTATAACTTATGGTGGTACTAATGTCCAGTTTAATACATTAACTTAAATGTATTATATATAATTTTGTCAGATTTGAGCACTTCTCTGGTTTTTAGTGTTAGTTTGAATCATTAATGCACATAAACTGTAATGTACGGCTCATTGTTTTGTCCAAAGAGGCCACTGGAACACAGAAATAAATGTGTTATTAGTGTTTTAGGGTTATTGTTTGTGATAAAACGTTCTTCTCACATTTAGTCTTTTCCAGTATTTGCCTCATGTGAAAGCTCAAAACATCCACAATTCCCTCCCAGAGCTGTAGAGGCTGCACTAGCACTGATTCACGACTGGCTGGAGGTGTTAGGGTTTAGGTAGTGACCATTAAGATCTGAGAAAGGCAATTTAGGTTTAAACCAACTGGACTGGCATTAGCACTGGCCACCCAAACGAGAGACTCATGTGAGGCTCATTGTATTTTCTGATTAGATAATCACTCTAGGAACTGAAATACCAAATTATAAACATCTTTGGCCACCATGTCCAGTGTTTTTGTAATGAAGAACACATCAGCATTACAATAGTTATCAGTTAAAGCAATATTTGATTTGAGCATGTCCGCTTCATATCTGGGGACATAAATAGGGCATGTTTAATTTAAAATTTGAAATCAAAACCTTACACTGTCCCTTTATCTCACCCATTCATTCTTAGTACAACTCTACTTAATAGAGTTTCACAAGCTCAGTTATTCTAGAGTGCTTTTGCATTGATAAACTGATTGGAGCAACTGTATGGCCAATAAATACCACCAAACACAAAGTCCTGAGTGAGAGTGAGGTCTCTGTTGCTAGCGTCTCATACTGCAGAGTGCGTCTTCAGTACAGGATGTCTCCACCACAAGATGTCCTCGATATGTGAAAATAAAATTAGCCCTGCTCTCTGTCCCATTTCCATTCACACATGTACTTCACAGTGTCCCCTGCTCTCATACTTGTATTAGATCAAAAAGGTATTGCATTTGCATAACAGTGGACCAGGTGAAACAAAGTGAGGGAGATGTGTTTTGAAGTTGGACAGAAATAGAATTGTCAGGCTTAATTTAGGATCCGTTTCAATACTAGATAGTTATAAAATAAAAGTACAACTATGCTTATAACTGTAATGTATGATTGTATAAGCTGTTAAGATAGTGACCATTTAGCTTATGTAAAATGAAAAAAGCAACATAGAGTATATAGTCATTTTGAAAGTATAGTAAAGGTGCTGGTGGATGAAGCACTCTATTTTATTACTTAAGTAGAAGTAAAGATACAGGGGCAAAAGATTACTCAAGTAAAAGTATCACATGAAAAATCCTACTGAAGTAAAACTTTTGAAGTACCTGTTTAAAAATTTACTTTTTTTTTTTTTTTTTTTTTTTTTTTACAATTAAAGCATCAAATGTTGTGATTTTGATAACATTTCTAACCAAAAGTACTTTTTACCTTTCAGTCTAGATATAAAATGTAGTGGAGCACAAAGTACAGATATATGCTCTCAAATGTAGTCAAGTAAAAGTAAAACATTTCCACTGTAAAATATACTTAAGTAAAGTACAGATACCTAAAAATTGCAGTCACTCCACACAACACTCAACAAAATGAAAAAAGAACTGACAAGATTTGAGACAAAAAAAAAAAATCCCAATTTGTTAATTCAGTAATAATTATAATTATTATATTATTACATTATAATTCAATAATGTTTGGTCTGAGGCATCTACAAATGTCCTGCTGCTAAAATCACTCATTCATTAACATGCATTGCACATTATCACCCCAAATGTCCACTTGAGCCAGCTGAACTATTGCACTAGTCTAAATCAATTGTCTGTTGGGTTATTTTTGGTTGTCTTGAAATGAACAAAATTGAGAACCTGTGGCCTAGTATTGAACAAGCAGCACTAAGTGTACTATGTGTCACTTGTGCTTCTACTTGAAAAAAGAATATTTATATTTGGATATTCAGTATACTGTATATATACATCATGCTCAGTGTGTCAGAGGTTATTTGATTAACTTAACATAAACTTTTTTCCTAATCTGTAGTCAGCACATGTATCATTCACACAGTTATCAGTGCAGTGTCTAGAGCTGCTGCTGCTGCTGCTGCTGCTGCTGATAGTGATTATAATGTGGTCTATGTAGTAACTGTGATGCTTAAATAACATACTATTAAATCAATTGTTCATTTCCAAAGAAAATGTCCGCGTCCTAGTATATTGTTTGAGTTTCCCGGTGCCAGTTGCCAGTTCTTGAGTGGAGCTGTTTGCTGACTGTCAAACATGTGGCAGTGCAGCTGCTTAAACACCAGCCACATTTCGAGCACCAGATGAGCTAAGAACAATAAAATTTATCAGAGTTCAGACCAGTTCAACTCTAGGCATTACAACATACACATACATCCACCTCATTGTTTCAACTATCAAGCATTAAAGCAGGTTAACACAGAGTACAATATTCAATCCTTAGTCTAAACATATAAATGCACAATTGCTGAAAATCATTGCTTCATATGGGTGGCACCATTAGTAGTAATAGTGAAACTGAAAATATGCAGTAGGCTATCACAACATGGAAAAAATATTTTATATACTAGTAATAGGCAGATCTCTACCAGGACACCAGTCAATTTTGTGATGATAGCTGGTAATATAGTAGCCTACCCATGGACACAAAAAATTAAAAATTTAAAATAAAAAATAAAAAATTTTAAATTTAATTTGTATTGTTTCTAAATTTAGTACTACTATACTACCAGTACTTTATTATTGCAATACAAATGTGTCATGGTGCTTTCTTCTAGTGACCCCAAACACATTACTTAACAGCCACAGTAGTGTCATCTTAAAGTAACAGTAGAGCCAGTTTTCCGGAAGGAGCCGTGTTGTATAAGGGAGCCTCTGTCCTTAATTGACCCGTGTGTTGACTGGGCCACTACAGGACGGTGAAGGGCAAATGAGCTCACCATTCATCATTCAGAAGTACACATGTGACTGCGTCTCTTGATTTAAATGAGTGCAGTGATTGGAGCTGTCCTCCTGTAGGTCCACATAAAGTCGTCGCGTTTGTGGGCACGCTGGCTGTGGCCCAGGACAATCCGGACACATTCAGCGTGGTGGTGAAGAGCAGCATTGATTCATGGGTGTTTGGGCAGTTTCCCTGTGGTCAAAGCCACGCACTGTTTATGTCTGGGAGCAGGTTCAACGCCTGTCAGGGAAACCGGGAAGGGCGGGTGCTCTGACAGGTGCAACAGCAAAAACAGAACAGTGAGGTTTGAAGTGCAACTTTGGAAAAATAACTGAAAAATTAGTCAATTTTCTACTCACTCAACAGTATCACACCAGAAACTTCCAATATTTGAAAAGTGAAAGGCAATTACTGTGGTATGTTATTACAACTACAAGTTATAAACCAGGTCCAAATGTTAACCAGGGCTTTAAGAGTCAGCAAAAATGATACATTTCTCAAATTGATATGGCGATGGAGTAGTTTCCGTTGCTGTAGCAGTAGTTGGAGCAGTAAAAGTAATATAAGACAGGAGTTGTATTATGTAGTAGTCGTATTCTCTCTCGGTTAGAATATTAATATAAAGTGTCAAAGTTTGAGTCACGGCGGATCTCCATAAACTCATTTAAGTAAAAACTCTCTCATCACTTTTACCTCAAGGCTATTTTAATTAATGAGGCGAGCCAGACGACTTTAACGGACAGATTATATCAAAGCACCCGTGAAAAATTATTATTTCACGGCTGACGAACTGAATCAAACATCACGCTAATACTACTAACACACCTTCTTGAGATCAGTGAACAATAATCCAGACCGAGCAGGGCATCCGGGGTGAAATAAAACTAAAAAAACAATTCAATGCAGTCCAATACGATGAATAACAAAACCTGGATTTTAATTGCAAAAATATACACCCTCATCTCTCTTTTTTTCTCCCCCAGTCTCTTTTTCTGTCTCTCACTCACTCACCCTGTCGCTCCTCCACTCTCTTTCCTGTCTCTCTCTCGCCTGCTTACCTCTCTTTCTTTTTCTCTCACCTCTCCCTCTCCTTCTCCCTCCCTCTCTCTCTGGGAACACCTCCAGGGGGGTGTCCTGCACAAACGCTGGCGCCTGTCTCCGTCTCTGGAGGACGCACTGTTGCAGACCCTCCCCTGTGATTTAGCACCTCAGCACTTCTCAATGGAGCCACCGGCCGCCCTGCACCACAAAGCACACCACAAACTCCACCTGGATCTTTTATCTACTCACACATTAATCTGGTGAATAATGACGGTGTTTTCTAGCGCTGCGGTAGAGCACGCGTCAAACCTGCAGTACATAACCTTGTAGTATTTGTAATAGTAATAAAGCGACTGAGGAATTCATAATAGTGATCTTTTCTGACAACTACTGACGAATGTAAACGTTAATGTCCACTAGTGGGCAGCATGGGTTAAATGTAAGATAAGAGAACCTTTATACATCCTGCAGTGAGGAAATTTCAATGTTGCAACATAAAGTTCAAGAACAGCAAGACAAGAGCAATATGCCATCAGAAATCAAGAGACAAATAACAATTAAAAACATAAAAAAACATTGTATTATAAGGCCATTGTAATAAAAGTGCATGTCGTAAGATTTGAATGTCAAATATAACAAATAGAGAACAGTTTTAAAATATAGACAATTTTTGACAGGACTGGACTTGACTGAGCGTTAAAGGTGCAGTGCGTAATATTTCTACTGGATGGTCCGCCACCTTCTATCTCCATGGAAATATACGTCTAGAATATTCCACAGTATAGATTAAACCTATCTGTCACAAGGAAGACAAGTAGGTGGTGCAACATTACAGTTCAGATCTGTGGAGAGGCGGCCTATTCACAGAAGGAATTATTGTGTTTTTGAGCAATAGAAACACATGTAATGAATAAATGCTGGATGGATGCGTTTATTGTCATAGAATTCTAGACAAAGCAATAACATCCTCTCCATGGAGATAAACAATTGGGGCACCTTGTTATTTTTTATTTATTTATTTATTTTGTAAGTGTGTGTGATGAGTGTGTTTTTTATTAGTATTTTTTTTTTTAAATTATGTATGTATTTATTTATTTTTGCTGTTTTTTTTTTTCTTTTTAACGTTCAAATAAAAAATTTAAATAATAGAATAAAATACAGCGAAATCCCTGTTACCTGAACTGACGTGCGTCTCTAACTTTTCTCTTAATGTCAAATCCTCCAGCGCTATTTTTCCTCCGGAGCGTCATTAAACTGCCAGAGCATGCTTTTAGTCGGGCCAATTTCCAGCACAAGCACCTATTTGCATACGCTTAAGGTGACCATCAGGATGCCCTCACTGATGTCACGTATGCTGTGGCATTTTCCCAGCTCTGCTCCATGTTTGGATCAGTCTAGTATTAAAGTACACAGATTCTGGTAGTACTAATGTGTACTTTGGCCACAATACTGCAGTGTCCACACGGGGAGGGGCTGTTTACTAACGATATGGGCTAAAAGTATTTGGAGATCTACCAAGGCACTGGATCTTGCAATAAAAATTGATCATCCCAAAACAGATGCAAACATTTTCTGGGGTAACTGAGTGAAAATGTCGTAAATACACAACCTCTTACTGTGAGTACTAGTAATTCTACTTACTACTACTACCAAAAGCATTCGAAGAGCATCGAGACCTACCAAGGTACCGAGCAAGTCTTGCAGTAAAAATTGATTAACCCAAAATGGACACTGGGGTAAGTAAATGAAAATCCTGAATTGCAAATACACGACCAAACAGTGTACTCTTACTGTGAGTACTTCTCCTTCTCCTCATTACTACTACAATTAATAAATCAATAATATTTTTTTCTCACCTTTGGAAAATGTCCCAACAATATTGTCCGCATTATCAGCTTGGCAAAAATCCCGAAACCACATCCACAAACACTTACCCAGGCACTATTATAATAATTCATGGTCCCCGAAGCATCATGGGAAAAGTCATAACAAAGACATGAATTCAATGGAGAGTGGAGGGGCAGTTTGTTAAAAGCGGGCATTAAAATCCTCATAAACAATCTCTCTGGGCATATAAAGTCAAAGAGGAGATGAAAGCTGCAGAGAAGGGTTTTGGAGAATGGGCGTCCATTGTGCACAAATTGGCTGCTTTTAGATTTAAGACATGATCAAAAACCAAAATTACAGCTAAGGTTTGCTCAATTTCTTTGCAAAATTATGCAATGTCCCAATCAAACAAATGGGCTGTTTTTGTAGTTTTGTATTTTCTGTGCATGATTTATACCTGTACATATATGTTTTTAGAATATGAAAAAACAAACAATAAAATACAGCCAAAAATAATAACAATGAACGAATACGCAGACTATTATAGCTGTAATTTTGAATGAGTTGCACAAAATTTGCTTAATGTGTACCATTTTTTGTTTGAATATATTTAAATTACACTTTTATTACATGGGAAGCACATTTGATATTCCAATTTGCACAGCCTCATATTGATTTCACACATGATTTCTATGCTTATAATACTTGTATGACCCAAGGACCTTAATATAGCTCTGCATTGACGTTTACACATACTTAGCAGATATAAAATCAGAGAACATTTTGTTGTTAGAGAATAAGAATTACAGCTATTATCTTGCACAATACTTTATGCATATACTTCCTCTTTTCCTTGTTTACAAATGTCTCTATCTTTAGTTTCATTCAGACATATTGACAAGGCGTGTTTTATTTATTTATTTTCACCAGAGGAAATGACTATAGTTTAATCTTTAATATTACCACATGAAAACAAAATATTTTACTTTTATTATTACTTTTGCACTTTTTGCAATTTGGTCATTTTACTAAATTATATTGCTGCAGTTTTTTCCAAATGTAATTTTTTTTGTAAGTAATGCACAGCTGTAATGTTCAATTTTGTGTATGCATAAGGTGTAGGTTTTTATATACGCCCTTTGTTTTTTGTTTTTTTGCCTCTTCCTGCACCTACTTTTCTATGCTAGTGTGTCCTTTTTTATTGTTGTAGTTATGTGAGTGCAAAACATAAAAAATAATAAATAAATAATAATAAATAATAATAATAATTGAAAAAACAAAAAAAATACGAAATGATTTTCAATGGGTAGACTTACCATATGTTACTATACAGTAATGTCAAGTGCAATTCTTTTTCTAGTCACTGCATACTTAAATCCACGTTAAAATGAATGGAGCTCCTACCTGTTGACTCTGATTTCCAATCCACAGACTCAGTAATAATCCAGAGAGCTCCACAGAGTCTCATATTAAAGTGCTGTCAGCCGGCGCTTCTTCTTCTCTGTTATACTTGTGTTTTTAGGCTCCATTGACTCCTCCTCCTCCAGCACATGCACTGTCCCCTGTGTGTGTGCCTGTGTCAGCACTCTGCCTCGCTCTGCTCTTTTGAAGCAGCAGGACGCCCCCCTCCTCTTTATAAGATCAGCCCGGTGACATCACGGGGACAGCGGCCAATCAGGGCCCAGGGAGCAGCTTTTGGACAGGACCTGGTGACTGCACTGCGCCGCTGGACCTATGCAGGATATGCGCTCAAACCTGCGAACAAGAATGATCCTCCAGTATTCTCTTCATACTTTACAGCTAATGTCATCAACATTCCTCAGGGGGGTGATGCCAGCTGGAGGCACTGCTCTATCTGTTGCTTTGTTATAAGAGTTTTATTTTAATGCAGTCTGACCAGGAAGAGCTGACTTAGTTGAAATTACAACAGGTGAGATGATTTGTGCTGATAAACAAATGTTTTACACTTAAAGTTACCATAGAAATTACTGTCACACGCAAGCTGGCAGTAACCGACAGTTTTACAGTCACACTTAAACAGGACCATGAATGCTCGTATTGATCACAGGCTCCTGAAAAGGTGTCATTTATATCAATTTTGTATTTTTTCTTGAGGTTTTATTTTTTATTTTTTCAAAGTATCAGTAGGTAAACTCTTCAGACATACACACAGGGGCATATTAATCACATTAATCACAGGGGCATGTTAATCACATTTACACTGGCTTGATAACAATGCATAATAAATGTCAATACCCATTTACAGTCTTTTAACACGTTTATTGTGTTCAGAAACACTTTGCTGTTCCCGTGGGAAAGTCTGTCCTCTGCATTTGACCGATACTTCAATGCTGCTGTGGCTATCTGCAGGAGCAGCGGGCCCCACAGAGCGGTGCCTGGGGGCCCATCTATAGATCTAGTATTCTACAGATCTACAGGCTTGGTCAGAACTACCGGAGCTGGAAGATGTAGTGAGTGTTTTGGGCTGATGGAAGAAAATCACAGAGTGCCCCAGGTGGAGGAGCTCTGCTAAGAGAGTCTGGAATATTTTTGCTGTGAGGTGAACGTGCTAACCACTCTGCCACTGTTCTATTGAATATGAACAGGGCATGATGATGATGTATGTTTCAAGCTTAAAGCAGACTTTATGCAAAATTTACTTTTAACCATATTATATGCTTATATATCACAGTGGAGCGCCTGTCACAAAACTGTTATTGTGTCCTTAGGCAAGGCACTTCACCCATATTGCCTAGTATGAAAGTGCTGTGCATGTGAGTGATGGTGGTGGTGAGAGGGACCAATGGCGCCAATTGGCATGGCAGCTGCGCTTCAGTCAGTCTGCCCCAGGGCAGCTGTGGCTACAAGAGTAGCTTACCACCACCTGGTATGGAGGGAATGAATAATGCTCTGTAAAGCATCTTTGTGACAAATGTCTGTGAAAAGCGCTATATAAATAAAAACATACTTACTGACTTACTTGTTTCCTCTTCTCATTTAAACTTTTGTAGATGTATTTGAATCATTTGTGTGTGTTTGAGCTATTTCTAATTGCTTTTTTTCAATATGCCATATTGCCGATCACCAGCACTGCTATGTTTTTAATTTTGATTCTCTTAATGGGTGGTGGCCTCAGGGTTCGGCAACGTGGCATAGCCATTTTGGTACAAATGAAAAAAATGGTGGCCTGCTGGTGTGATGTGCAGCTATCCATCAGAGGTGCTGACAGCTGCAATGTTTGGTGCATTGACGTGAACAAAGGCGTCAGCCCCCATTGGCCTACGCACCTTTCTAACACAGAAGTGTTTTAGTAGTTTTAGATGAATATTGTGATTTTAAATGTGCAAATAACACAACATAATGATCTACGGGTGTCATAGATTATAAGTATATAGCAGACACAACCAGAATAGAACTTCTTTAAATAAGAAATAAGCACTGTTTTGTACACAGGCTTTCTGGCCTGTGGCTGTAAATATTCTAACTAATAAACTAATAATTTAAGTTGATGGTTCCTGTCATTAAAATGTACCTGAGAAAGTGAGCAGGTTTGCGTACATATTTGGTATTAATATGCAATCTTAAACCTTTAAAAATATCTCTTAAACCAGTTGGATAACATTTTACAACTTATTTTAAGAATAATCTCAGTTATTTCCCAGTTTGACACCAGATCTTACACAACACAACCTTTGAAGCACAAAGATACTTTCATTTTCTTAATTAATATTTCAGGTGATGTAATTAACTGCAAATGCCAGCGACTGTTCTTGCGTTCAGAGTGGTAGTTGTTCCAAAGAAAAAGAAATGAATGTAACTTGTGCATCTGACTGAATAAAGGTGAGTTGAGGACAGCCCATTTTGCATGAGCCAGAAAGCAGCTCATATTATCTTTATTACCCCTGCCATAAGAGGAAATTATTACTTACGTTTTGCATATTCAACAGCTCTTCCATAATGTTGATGTTATGTTGTTTTTTTACAGTACATTTGAATCACTCCAGATCCTTACACACTTGTTTTACGATGATCTTAAAAAAGTCGCTCACACATATAATCACAGTCACGAGCCAGCGAGTGTTAGCCAGCAGTTTTTCGGCTGGCCACTCTCACTTTTTTTTGTTGAAAATCAAACTCTTAAACAGGAGGATGAACACTCATTTTGATCATAGGCTCCTGAAAATTATCCTGTTTAAATCCATTTTGTATTTTTTGCTTGTTTCCAGACTGTCTTAAAACTTTTTGGCAGCGTTTGCTCATGCTTGCTTTGTGCCATCATGGGAACTGCAAAACATTCCAACATAGAAATGCATGTAGCAGAGGTTGGGACTTGCAAGTCATGACTTGGACTCAAATGAGACTTGAGTCACTATTTTTAGGACTTGAGACTTGACTTGATAAAATGGACTAAGACTTGGGACTTGACTTGGAGAAGATTTGAGAAGCACTTTTAAATCTGAATTCTTTCTGTTCTGACTGTAATGATTCACTCTAAGATCTTGTCAAGACATTTAAAAAGGAAAAATTTACAAAATTCATTTCTACAACTCTTATATAAATACTCATATATAAGTATACCATGACGTTTTAAATACAATTGAGCTTAAAATTCATATAAATTGCAAAAATCAAAGCTATATTTGATACTTTGGTTTAAAGACTTGAAATAACTTGAAGCTCAAAGCAGATGACGTGGACTTGACTTGGACTTATGGACCAGTGACTCCAGATTTGACTTGGACTTCCCTATCCTTGACTTGGGACTTGACTGAGACTTGAGGTCAAAGACTTGAGACTTACTTGAGACTTGCAAAATGAAGACTTGGTCCCACCTCTGGCATGTAGTTCCACCAGTGTGAACAATATACACACATCCCACAACTCTTTCCCCCACGAAGACGACATTTGACGCCCCCCCTTGTATCCTTAATTACATGTTTTGACACCTGTACTATATCACTAAAGATGTAATTTGATGACCATTAGACCATTGTTCCGGTTTTTCACATGTAAACAGAGGCTGCGATAGGTGGGGGCCACTACAACCCATAGTAGGCTGACCAATATGATTCAAGGATATGTTTTTGCAGATTTTTTTCCAAAGTTAATCAAAGTAGTGATGATTGTAACTTCCGGAAAAAACACAACACGAAACACGTGCAATAGAAAGATTGAGGTGTATAGTTTTAGAAATAATGAGGAAAGGGCGTATTTTATGGATAACTTTGGAGAAAGTGACTTTTTTTCTTGATTTCAAAGTGATGATGAAGTTGATTATAAAGTGAAAAACAGCGATAGTGACGGAATTTCGGAGAGTGAAACTTACGAACTTGAGAAAGCCGGTGATGCGTCTGTATGGAGTCCTGCATCATCAAACATCCATATATGAATAATTCAGAGTCTAATGTTTCCAGAGATACCAAATATGTCTGTGTTTCAATAAAGTTCATGAGTGTGAAAATCTTTTATAATCACTCGTGGAAGTCTGTTTTCTTTTATGCAATTATGCTCTATAGGTAGCCTTAGGAATATATGAATGGGTTGTTTCTAGTAGGCGTCCAAGGGGGAAACAGTTAAAGGTGCACTATGTAACTTTTCCAAGGGAGAGTCCACGATCACATTAAACACCTCCAGAGAGACAAGCTGGATAATCCCTACAGTTGAAATGCAACACTGTGGAATATTTATGGCAAAGCAACAATAACAAGCTGTTGGTTAAATTGTAAACCATTTTCTGACTCTCAAAGTGAAAAATATACTAACTGTATCAGGGATCACACAGAAGCTGATAAGCATCTAATATTCATTTATTTTTGTATTCCTTGGAGTTGCACATCATCATCATCATAAAGAGACCTATTTATTCCACAAACTAAATTATTTATTCTGATGTTGTTTTTAAATAAACATGAATTCTAGGAAAAAATGTAAACTGCTGTGGGAACTCTTTATGTGGGTATTCCCTTTTCTCTCTTCGTCGTCTCCTTCTCTCTTTCTCTACTTCTCTTTTTATCAATCTGTTTGTCATTACATACACACAAACTTCTCTCAAAAGTCCCACAGCTCTCGAACTCCCCACAGAGAGATCAGCGTTGCAGAGTGGAGCTATAGGCAGACATTTAGAGAAAAGAGGGGATTCTTGCCCTCCTTTTGGAGCGTGATGAGAACATTGTCGTATTTTGATCAGGGTGCGAATCGCTGTAAAAACCGCAGCAAATAGTTCTCTGAAGTAGCAGGAACAGGAAACCACTGGTGTTGCTGAGGCAAAGTACAAAAACATGCGACCAAAGAGAAAACAGACTTTCGGGGTTAATTACATCTGTGTCTATGAGAGAAATGTTTGTTATGTTATGTAACCAGTGGGATTAGACTGGACTTGATTGGACATAGACACTTCTCTTCCTGTCCCAGTGTACTCCGTCAACATACACATTTTGAAGAATTTAAAGGTGCACTGCATAACATTTCTAGTGAAGGGCCTGCCACCTGTTTGTCTCCATGGAAATACTATTGCTTTGTCTAGAATATTCCACAGTATAGATTAAAAATATCGATTACGAGGGAGACACGCAGGTGACAGCACTACACT